GGAAAGTTTCTTTTACGTCTCCGATCGATTCCCCTGAACCTCTCATAACACCTGGGCAGGGCAGGGCTGAACAGGTGGCCCCAGTGCATGAACTGGCCTGCGCGCAGCAGCCTTTTGGTCCCCACGCTCCCAGGGCAGCCACCAAGGAATTGTGTGCTCTGCTCTGAAAGTTAGGGAGACTGTGGAAGGAAGGACCAGTGTGAGCTCACACCTACCTCTTCCTTGAAGCCTTTGTGGCTCCCCACAGAGGAATGTGGTCATTCCCTCCTTGGACTTCCAGAGAGAGACCTGGTGGAAAAGCCTATGGGAAATTGTTTCCTCTGCATCCGATGCAGGGCCTGCGGTCACTGTTGGTCAGCAGGATTAGAAGTCAGGAAGAAAGCCAGTCATAGAATAGGGGAGAGCGAGGACAAACTGGAATTTGCCAGCACCTCTACACCACCTCTGTCTCTCACCACCTCTGACCATGCCAACATTCTCCTGGCTGCTGCTTCACTTCTCCCGGCCAAATCGCATGCACATTGCTCTTTTGGTTAACTCTAATCCAGAATCATAGAGGGAAAACAAACTCTGGGAAACGTGGTTCCAGATCAGCCAAATTAACACTCTATGAAACCCCCCGCAGAACCCTCTTGGAGGGTTTAGAACAGTATGCATAAAAACATAATTTATATTTTTAAAAGGATTACTCCAATTGCTGTGGGGAAAATAGACTGTAGGGAACTAATTTTGGAAACAGAGAGGCCAGCTAGGAGGCTATTGCAGTAATTCAGTAGGAGATGAGAGCGGCTTGAATTAGAAGGATGGCAGAGGAGGAGGTGACCTTTGGAATTGGGATATATTTTAAAGGTAGCACTGAAAGTCTTTGCTGATGGGTCAAATGTGGCGTGGGAGAAGAAAAGAAGTCAGTGATGACACCAAGCGTTTCGGCCTGACCCAATGGTGGTGCCATTTCTTGAAATGGAAAAGATTGAGGGAGAAACGAATTTTGGGGTTGGGGGAATTGCAGATTCTCTTTGGCCATATTAAGGTTGAGATGCCTATTAGATATCCAGGTGGAGATGTTGTGTAAGTAGCTGGATCTACAGTGCAACTCGGGGGTGTATGAAAGAGGTTGGGGCTGAGATACACATGTGGGAGTCATCAGCATCTGGATGATATGGGCGTATAGCATGATCGAGCTAATGATAGGGCCATGGGCTTGGATGTATTACCCCGAGAGGGAGAATAGATTGGAGCCCTAAGGTCATTCAACATTTAGAAGTCTGAAAGAATAGGATGGTGTCCAAGAAGAGTAGGAACTGAGGAGGAGATCCAGATGAGGGCTTCTACAAGGTTGGAGGAAGATGATTTTTTTTCGGATAGAAAATATTAGTATGTTAGTGTTCTGATAGAAAGAGAGAACTTGATAGTGCTGTAAAGAAGGGATAATATCAGGGCGAGTCATTAGTTGAGAAGTCATGAAAATGGAGTGTTATATTATAAGCTTTTTATATTATAAGCTTACATTATAGGCACCTTTGTCCTCTGTTTATATTCCATGGTCAGTTAGGGTGCTTTTGACCGCAAGTCAAAAAAGTCAAGAAAACCTGCATGAAGCTTGCTTAAACCATCGCTCGGCTCCTGTTCTGTGGAAAGTCCATGAGCAGGGCAAGCTTGACCTGCAGCTTGGTGATGTCACCGAGGACTTAGTTTCTTTCCATCACTCTGCACTGCTCTCCAATATGTCAGCTCTGATTAAGGCTGCCTCCCTCTGTGGACTCAGGATAACTGCCAGCAGCTCTTGGGGCTATACGTTTCTTCATTATCTTCATTAAGAAAGAGAGTATCCCAAGCCAGCCCTGATGGCCCAGCGCTTAAAGTTCGGCGCGCTCCTCTTCAGCAGCCCGGGTTCGGTTCCCGGGTGCGGAACCACACCACTCACCTGGCAGTAGTCGTGCTGTGGAGGCGGCTCACACAGAAGAACTAGAAGAACTTAGAACTATACACAACTATGTCCTGGGGTTTTGGCAGTGGGGGCGGGGAGAAGGAAGGAAAAAGAGGAAGATTGGCAACAGATGTTAGCTTAGCTTAGGGCAAATCTTCCCCTGCAAAAAAAAAAAATTTTTTTTTAAAAAGAAAGAGTATCTCGATATTCCCAGAAAAAGCCCTGAGATTCACCCTTCCTGGACTAGGTTAGGTCATGTGCCTCCCCCTAAACCAATTTCTGTAGCCATGAGGAAGGAACATGCTGATTGGCAAAGCCAGAATCCCCTAGGTCCCCAGTGGACAAGCAGGGGCTATGGGAAAGGAGAAGTAGTGTCCACTGTAAGTGTCTGGATGAAAGTCACATTGTAACAGTACTAAACCCTACCAGGCCACCAGTGGAGAAAGATAACACATGCTAAGTACACGTGTCCTAGAACAGGTACAAAGTGCATTTGGGAATGAGTTTACTTACCATTTGATGGATAGAGATAATTGTTCCTTTGTATATTTGACAGCTACTTAGATTATATAGGCCATCAGCTGTAACTAAGGTAAAATGTGTTTGGATTTCACAAGTCTTAGTTTCTTATATGTAAGTCAAACTTGGTCAATAATTTAAGGGGCTCGGCCCCCTGGCCAAGTGGTTCAAGTTCTGCACGGTCCGCTTCAGTGGCCCAGGTTTGTGGGTTCAGATCCTGGGCGCAGACCTGCTCCACTCACCAGCCATGCTGTGTTGGTGTCCCACATACAAACTAGAGGAAGATTGGCACCAATGTTAGCTCAGGGCTAATCTTCCTCAGCAAAATAATGATGATGATGATGATAATAATTAATAATAATAATAATAATAATAATAATAAAAGATGGTAAAAATCTCTCCTCAAAGCACAAAGTTTAGTTTACTAACAATTAGCTTTACGTGATACGTGAAGGGCCAAGAGAAGTAATGCAGTATAATTTGGCCCACTGGAGGGCAGTAGTTTCTGGATACAGCCAACAATTTATAGTCTGGTTTTCTGCTCCAGGGCTAATTCCGGTGTGGATTTTGACCGCAGCTGTTTAGTGTCAGCGATAAAGAGAGGTGTGGAAACCTGAGGCATGGTTAAAATCTGCGGTATTGAAGCCTCCCCATCATTGCAGTGCAGCCTCATTTGAATCTGTAATGAATTCCTTCCCTGTGAACAGCCAGACACCTCATTACTACCCAAGACCTGCTTTTACTCTGCCAGTACTTTCTTTGGCGGCACGATTCAAATTCCTTAGATTATGAGGCCACAGAATTACATAATGCTGTAATTATTCCTGGTAGAGAAAGAGCAGCCTGATGGAAACGCCCCGTGAGACGCCCTCTCCGGGGAGCATGCAGTGCACTGAGCCCTTTTCTCTGGTAGCCCCACGTGAGCAGGAATACAAGGTAATGGCCAGAGCACACTTCTTTCAGGACGTGCCCCATGCCAACGTCTCTTTTGTTGCCTCTGCTGCAAATGCACCTCGCTTTCTCTGGCACAACACAGCACTGCAACAGCGTACAACTCAGCCTCTTCAGCATTGACACAGATGGATTATGGTAAGCAAACCAACAAAACCAACCCAGTGAAACAACCACTGGTCTGTTTCCCTTCATGTCTCCAAAATTTCTACCATTTTTTTCTTCTTTCAGGCTACCATTTTTACAGGGACATTAAAGGTTTGTTTTGCCCATTCTTCCTTAGAATGTGACGTTATAGCAAACATTTCTGTTTAGAGTTTTATTGACAATGCTTAGAGTTTGTTGGAGCAAAGAAACAAAATGGATTTGAAATGTATGAACAGCTGGATGAATCTTGGCTTATCGTACTGCTTGCTCAGTGTCTCCTGGATGGGATCACGTCCAGGTGGGTGTGCCATCTGGACGCTTTTTCTAGACTGCACCGGCCCAGCCTTCCACAGCGAGAAGCAAATGCAGTTGTGGCCCAACTAGGTGCCAGGAACCGCATTTTCATCCCTCGTTAGAATCCTCTTCCAATACAGGTGTGAGATCAAGACTGTTCTGCTATCTTCTATTTGCATTTGAATGGAGGACTCACTGTTTCTGCGTTCTGGAGGGAGGTAATGAAGTCAGCTCGACTCAGCCACGACTAAGAGCCCACTGGCACGGCCACCCTAAAGGGGCAGTAAATGTGAGCTAGACCCAGTGCTACCCGCAAAGAGCGCTCAATCTAGTTTGCTTTTAATTAACTCTAGAGACCCCACTCTACTTATTTTGTCCTATTATCCAATTTTCTTTCAAGACAACAATCCAAAGAATTTTTCTTCCCTTCTTCTCTCCAACTTTCATGCGCAACTCAACCTATTGCCCATGGGCAGAAATCCCTCCTGCTAAGTCTGCAGTAGACTGTATCGTTTTCTCCCTTCCCTGTAACACTATGCTTCTCTGCCCATTGCCGTGTAACTTGTGGTGCTCCCCTGTATCCTCAGGCTTGGTTGTGTCTTGCTGGGGCCACGTGAGCAGAAGTGACAGTGGGACAGAATGGAAAAGAAATTTGGAGAGGTGGCTTAAAGCTTGAAGACGTGGCTGCCTATTTCTACCAGTTTTTGCTTTTCGCTCTGTCCCGATGCAAAGAGGGGCTTCACTTTTGGTTTGGGTCCTAGAATGAGAACATTAAGAAAAGCTGCAGTCAACCCACAGCCACCAGACTGTCATGCAAGTGAAAAATAAAGATAATTGTGTCAGAAGCCACTGAGAATTTTAGGGTCATTTGTTACCGCAGCAGAGCCAACTAATAAAGACCAAATCATAAATACTAAATAGAAGACAGAACAAATACAACCATCACAATTCCCAGTCACCTTTATTTATATAAAAGTATATTAAATAAATTATCTCAATATATACAAACAGAACAATATTACCTCTATAAATAGAAAATCCCATATAAAACCTTTTTTAAAAATTATATAAATATATACAATGCTGACCATAGAAACTTAAAGTACCTTAAATTATAAACTCTACGTAGTTTGTTTGTAAAGTAGTCTTATAAAAATATCGTTAGCTGTCAAGTGTTTCATCAACAGCACGTAAGTCAGTTAAAGTGCTAAACTGTAATGCATGTTGGGAACGTGCCCAAAACAGAAGTCTTCTGCATTTAACACATTCATATAAAGTTTGCCAATTGTTTTGAACCTCCAAAAGAACTGAAAAAAAAAGAACCTAAAGACTGTATTACAAAAGGATAGATGTACATTAGAAAAGTCCACCCAATTTCCATTTTACTCTCCCACAGGGTTTGAAGTCAGCCCCTCGAGAGGTCTCCAAAAGTCCACCCAGGATTTTTGAAGGCATCTGTCCATCTGCTTTTCCTTAGATGACCTAGTTTCATCTTGAGTGTAGAATATACAGTCTAAAGCATGATATGTGCAAAAGGTGCGATAGTGTTAAAATAGAAATTTAAAAAACTCGGAATTGGCTGTACCGTTCAATACATTCCCAAGTGTCTAATGCTGATGTCGAAACCAGAATGCTAATTGTGAGAAGTGGTCAGATAAAGAGCTTTGAGCCCAAGGGTCTCCAGCTCCAAAACACTCATTTGTGTTTCCATATAATCTATTCTCTTAAAAGTTCTTGGTCACAGTGCAATATAAACTCTGCAGTAGCCGGCAGCTCCAACGAGTGTTCTTTATACAGTACTGAGGGGGGCGTGCTCCTTCCCGACGTGCCCCGCTCGCGCCTTCCTGCACTTGTACAGACACACAGTCAGGATGACGATCAAGATGATGATCACGATCACCACTGCTCCAATGATGATGGAAGTTTCTGAAAAATAAAAGGTACCAAGTCAATTTAGAGGGAGAGCTCAAATCCCATTTACCAGTGGGCAGAACTGAGGGCATAACCCCAAATTACACCATCCTGCTTTTGCGTAATTTGAAATTTTTCCTCCACTCTTTCCACTACAACACATTTCGATTAGGAAAGAATTTGTCAAACCCTAGATGTTTTAGGGCAATTGACATGGCGAAAAGCATTTAATGGACCATTTAATAAACTGGATAATGCTCACAGTCTAGAAAAGATACACGTAGATGGAAGCAAGAACAGCTGTTAGAAACAAATGGCTAACAATAATGCTGAGTTTGGTGGCAATGATTACAGTAGAAGACAAACTATCAGTGCAAAGAGAGAGATCCAGAGCGCTACCAGGATTCAGGTGAAGAAGAGATGCTAGCTGGTTGGGGCAAAAGAAGGCTTCCTGGTGGAGGTGGCATTTGAAACAGTTCTCAAAGGACCCATTTCAGCAGATAGAGAAGAGGCAGGGAAGCAGCAATCTGGGGATGCACGAAGACAGAGAGGCAGCGGGACTCCAGCTGGCTTTAGGAAGATGGATGTGAGGGCTGTGGGTACGATGGTCCGGAGGGGTGCAGGACCAGAGGGAAGGAGAGCCCCTTCTTTCTGTCAGCGTCCATAAACAGGAGAGAATTTATTTAAAAATGTTTTTAAATTTTTAAATCTCATCTTAGCAAGGAGCTAGGTCATCATTACCATCCTATGACTCTTTTGTTCCCTGAAAGTACTCAGAGCACCTTCCCTATAAAGCTGGGGGGAGATGCACAGGCTTTCAGCCTCGTGTATGTGTTGGAACACCTGCAGCCCTTCCAGTTAGGAACCACTCCTCATACCGTGTCTGGGCCCCGGTGTGTGCCCATGCACGTGTTGGCCATGTGCACACACATGCACACGAGTGTATCTGACAGATTCAATCCCTTCCCTTCATGGGTTAGACTTTATATCCTCTGTGGCAACAGCCCACGGTGGGTGCTCAACCAGTGTCTATCCGATGCTGCTGCAGCTGGTCCAGAAGCTCTCCCCCAGCCCCCAAGGTCAGAATTTAAGTATGAAAATATGGCCAGAGAAATCTGTGACTTGATGCCAAATCCTAAACTTGTGCTATGTACTCAGCAGAGAGCTTAGCACATGGTAGGTGCTCAAGAAAACACTTCCTACTACAAGAGAACAACATGGAAACATTTCTAAATGCCTAAAACAGTAAGAGTACCCAAAAAAACCAAGACAGTCTCTCTCTGAACAAAAGTACATTCTGGTTGTGAGGGCAGAGCTAGTCCTCTGGAAGGCATCCACGCCTTCCAGACGAATGACAGGCAGAGCCACTCACCTCCAGACACACCTTTCTCTTGGCTAGTGCACTCAATGGGACTTTCTAGACTCTTCTGGTTAGTTCTTCGTGATGGAATCACTGCTTGAACATTGAAACAGTAGTCTTCTCCTTGATCCACATCAATCAAAAACTCATTAGTGTTTGTCTTGGCTGTTTTCTGTTAAAAGATAAAGAGTTCTTAATTTACCTGGGCTCAGAGTGAATTCTTTCCCCTTTACTAAATCACTGTGGAAATAAAAGTCTACGTGGACATCTGACATATAAAGGATTAGAAGTGACTTGGCTAATCAGTTCCCCCTGATAACTGCTAAGGATGCTTTTTCCAAGACTGAAGATATCCAATTTAGGTCCATCCAACCCAATTTAGCCCCTTTAGAAGATATTTGCAGTAAAGGGAAAAAGGAATGAAGTATTGTTAAAGGGAAAACAAATTCTGTCTCTGGAATCCTCAATAGAGGAAGAAACGTGGGAGCTGGCAGGAAGCTTAGAGATGTCTGGTCCAGCCTCTGGCCAAGGAACCTGGGTATTGGAGGGGGCCCTGCCCCAAGTCACAAGGCAGCTCAAAGTCACAGGTGGAACCAGGACAGTAGGCGCCCTCCCCTCCCCGCCACCGCCCTCTCAACCACCTTGTTCTGATGTTTGAATTGGGGAAGAGGTGGGCTATAAAATCAAGGATCCACAATTTAAAACAAGTCATAAAAACAAATAAAAGAATTCTCACCTTTCCTGTACTTGAAGCTTTCCAATAATAAAGCGTATAACTTAAGTTCTTGCCAAAAACATCCCGGAGGCTCAGGTATGTGCCGTTCACTCTGAGTAAGGTACGTGCATCTTGTACGGTCACATTCAGTTTTGTCCCAACTTGTTCAAAACTCTGAATTGCTGGCCGTCCAAGGTTTGCTAAAACACAGAAAATGAGCATCGTTGGAACCAAAGAATTCTGTACAGAGTAGAATCCCATTTAGTTATCACAGTTAATAAAAACCTAGTCATCCCTCACAAAACACCCGCATAGACTCAACTCCCTGGCAGTAGTAAGCTAAGTGGCACCAGAGCTGAACTCGACAAATTCTATAGCAGTGCTGTCCAATGGAATATAATGGCAGCCACAGACATAACTTTAAATATCCTTGTAGTCGCATTAGAAAATGTAAAAAGGAACAGGAAAAATTAATTTTAGTAATATATTTTATTTAACCCAATATAGCTAAAATATTTTCATTTTTGCATGTAATCAATATAAAAACTTTTGGAGATATTTTTCCAAATCCAGTGTATATTTTACACTTAGAGCATTACCCATACATACCACTAGTCGTATGTGGTTGGTGGCTACTGTATTAAACAATACAGTTGCGTTAAGATTCCATATTTTAGAAACAATAAATTAGGAGCTGTGGGAAAGCCCAGGAAATGTCTTTGGTACCTCAAGGAACTAGTGTTAACCACTGGGTCTCTGCAATGGCTCAATTACCTCGTGTGCTTTGGTTAAACAACAGTAAAAGAAATCCCAATAATTTAACATGAATTATATGCAAGTATGTGTGTATATGTGTGAGCACATGCAAAATAAATATATGAAATATTTTCTACCTTGCACCAAAAAAGGATTTGAAGTGGTTTACAGAAAACTCAAGAACTATAAAAGGAAATCATGAGGATGCCATCGATGGAGGGCGCATGAATGTCAATGATGCTGTCGAGTTCCTAGAGGTGGCGTGGGTGTGGTGTCTATACTCTAGCTGAGAGCCCTGAGAGGCACACAGGTAAAAGCACCAGGGGAGTTTGAAGACAGGCCCTGGCACACAGGGGCTCAGGAAGGCAGCCTGATTCACCTGGGGTAAGGCTGCCTTGTAGTTCCCCCCTCAAAGCACATGCTAGAGGGGCAAGGTGGTTGACGGTCCCTCCCCCTCCTCACCATCCCTGCCCGAGAAACTGTTCCCTCTCACTGGGCCGTCAGAGGGACAAACGGAAAAGCACCAATGACACACTTTCATCCTAACCTTTCAATCGAAGTCTTCTCAAAAGAGCAGCTGACTTCCCTCTTCCTAATGTTCTACATGTGTTTATTTGAAACACCTAGTTCAGAACCACAGTCGTGACAAGAACATCTAAATCTCCTACTTGGCAGGAATCCTCTGCATTCCCTTATTATATGCTAAGGTCAGCGTAACTTGGGCAAAGGCTGGCAAGGAAAGCATTCTGCATTTTCAAAACCAGCAGGAAGGCGCCAGGCTGGAAGCAGCTGGGCAAGTGCTGGCACATCATGGGATTCAACTCATGGTCAAGGGATTACAAAAGCTGACCAAGCCCGATTACGGGCTCAGAGGGAAACTGTCTCCGTGGATTTGTGACCATTTGTGAAAAACCCTAAACTGGGACTTCTGGTCTGATGATGGGACAGAAAATTCAGGAGGGGTGTGCGTGTGTGCGTGTGTGTGTGTGTGTGTGCGTGTGTGTGTGTGTGTGTGTGTGTGTATATATGTATATAAATAAAATCTCCTAAATACATATGGAGAAACACCGAAAGCCTAGCCTTGGGGGATTTCCTACTCCCCCTCTCCCCCATCCAGCCAGTTATTGGTAGGGTCTGGGGACAGAGTGGTGGAGAAAGTTACTTGATGACACTGTTATGAAGTCCCAAGTTCATCTTCTGTGAACCTCCTACCACATCCAGAATGAGTGAAGAGGGCTGTGGCACTTACCCATTTCTGAGAAAGAAAATGTGTTTACGGATAAATACTTTTTATCTAGTGGCCCCTAAGGGTCACAAGCCCACGAGAATACTCAGAAGCTACAACAACGAGAATGACAGGTTACTACAAACCCAGCTACTTACTCTCCAGGTAAGGGGTGAACTCCAGGGAGTTTGTGAATGGAGGCTCCCCAGAAAAACCGGTGGCATTTGCCGGGTAGGAAGAGACCCGCGCCGTGTATATCTGGTTCACGTCTTTCACAACCTCATCGGTGAGGTCACACTCTGTGTTTGTTGTGTAGAAGCATTTTCTTTTCCAGTTTCCTGATCTAGGGCTAAAGGAGGAAGGAAGGAAGAGAAACAGGAACACTGTGATTTGCCTCCAACAGGACAGATGGCTCTCTGGCTGTGCTGTTGTGTTACAACAATAGCATCCACAACCATCCCCACCAGGCACGTGGTATGCAGGGCGCTTTAGACGTGTGTAAGTCCTCACAGCAACCTGGGGGTGACTCTGTAATTCTCTCTGTTTTTACAGATCAGGCAACTGAGGCAAAGTGAGATTGGGGGACCAGCTCAAAGTCACACAGTGGTTTGACTGCTGGGCCTGTGCTCTTAATCATTTTGTCAAGTATCATTCTTAAAATGTAGACAATTTGTCATGGTTACATGGGAGAAAGAGCAATTTTCCATCAAAACCCAATTATTTATTACAGTCTACTTTATATCATATCATATTGCATTCTGTTTATTATATCACATTCTATATCCTATGTGGAATATAGTCAATGTAGTAATAACAGAGTCTGTATATCTTATATATTACATTCTATTGTGACCATAATTGGAGTGGTTATTTATCATTTATTGAATCCACTATACACCAGGTACTGTACTGGGCCTTTTACACGTTACTTCATTGGACATAATCCTTTCAAGAAGGTATTGGATCTTTTTCACACATGAGAATACTGAAGCTCAGAGATGCTCACTAGATGGTACAAGGTCACATAGCTGATTAGGTAAGAGCTGGGTCTGTTCATCTCATTACACTACCTGCCTCCCTCACTTTCACAAGATGTGAATACATCTCATCAAAGAACACAGCATAATAATACAGGAAGTATCCGTCCAACAAAGTCTGAGAGACTAAGAGGCTAGAAAACGTCTTTCTTTTGCAAGGCATCATTGAAGAGGAAATGATTTAATGAACTTCTAAAGATGAAATTATTCTAAAGGACGAAAACAATTCATAGATAAATGTCACTGCAACTTGATCCACACACTTCTGTCCCACAAAAAGTGGCAGCTATACCGCTCTTCCCTTCAGTATCATCAACCCCCAGAGCGCTACCCATCATTCAGGGCCCTGCTTTAGTCCCATTGTCCCCAGGAATCTCCACATCTCCTTGCTCAGAACTGATCTCCCCCTTCGCAGTCCCCCAGCGCCACTATCTCCATTAAGCATCTAATGTGAACACGGTCTACTTGGTACCAGGGTCCATGCCCTGGTGCTCGCCTGCCAGGCAGCAGGGCTTCAGGACTTCTACGTAGCCACGCCTTGCTGAGTATTAGATGGTCTGCATTTACAGGTTGAATCAGGGGGAAAACAAGCTGCCACTTGGATTCAATGTCTAAATCCATGCATAAGAACCATCAATACCTATTTTTTAAAAATTCAAATTAAATAATTAGGCTAAGAGGGTATGGATAAACACATTCTTTGTCCTAAAATTCACAAAGTAAGATTGATATAGAAATATTTTGGTTTCTTAGATTTCTCTAATTTTCTGCGATAAAAGTAGAGAGGCTGTCTTAATTCCAGAATGACCAAAATGCATTTTTAAAAATTCTATCACTTCTATTTTAAAAAGTGAATGAGAACATGATGACACTTCTCCATCGGTATGGTAAACAAGTCATTCAGATAAAAGGAGAGAGACTGCTGGGCTCTGCGGCCACATTCCATGTGAGAGATCCAGTAAGGGGTTCCTCCCAGCTCAGCGTAGGAACCACAGTGCTCTATGGCAAAATTCAGCACAAGCACCTAGATCACTGAAAGTAACAGTCAGTGAAGTCATGGGAATAGGTAACGAGGGGGCAATTCTGTACTAAGTTCTTCTCAATGCTATTACCAGCATTAACACTTTAAAAGCCTTCGAGGTTCCTCTAGGTATTGCAAAATCTCCTGATTTGAAAATAATAAAAGTCTCACCTGAATTACTAAAAAATTCCAACAGAATTCAGACTGAGCAGTTAGGACCAGGTTGTTTTCTAGAAGCTTTAGAAGTTCAGTTTTAGAATTCAGAACATTTCCGTGGAATCATTATTGCAGGTGACGGTTTGGTGCCAGGACTTGAGCCAATAACACTTCCCAGCCACCACTGAAAACTGTTTCCAAAGGGGAAAAATGGAGCTGGAGTTCCCAGTCGGGGCTTCAGGCCCAGCAGTGGCGCCCCGTGGCTGGGGACAGGCTGGTAGTGGGTGCAGAAGAGGAGCAGCAGGTTGAGATGCTATCTCTAGTGAAGAAAAACCCGGAGGGAAGGAGGCCCGCTGAGGAGATGCAGTGGGAACAGCTTTCCTTCCTCCTTCCAGGTTTGGGGCCTCACATCAGACTGTGGCAGAGCCCCCTGAGGAGGCGGTCGTGTAGGGTACTGGGAGACCTTGGTTCCAGACCCGGCTGGGCATTCACCATCAGTACAGTCATGAATAAACCCCTCACCTTCCCAGGGCAACAGTTTCCTCTTCCATAAAATTACTGCTATGGTCCCTTTCACCCAGGAATCCCGTTTACCCCTGGGGAGGTCACGGAAGAGTGCGGGTCTCCGGGGCAGAGGGAATGCTCACAGGTCCTCTAGCGCAGGGGCAAGAGTATAGGGCCCGCTCGGCAGGAACCCCCATGTCCGCGGGCGCCCCCAAGCTGCAGCTCTGCTCTAGGATGTTTGCGTATCAGGGGCCATGTTCACTTAACAGTAGCCTTCCAAAGTCCAAGAACTTAGGGTTAACAAAGGCTTATGTTTAAAAATCAGGTAAATTAAAGTAAATTATAAATGTTTCCACATGCTCACCCAACATAAGATTGAATACATTTAGGAGGTAAGTATTTCTCCTAAAATCTTATTTTCACTCTCCAGAAGGAAAGTGTCTACTAAGATAAACTTCTGCTCTGTATCAGAGGAATTAATTACTAATTCTCAACGAGTGGAATCTGAATTGACAAGTCTGGCCATAATCATTACCTGGGGTTATGAAATTCCTTTATTTCTCTCTCCCTTTCTCTATACGTGCATGCACGTACACACACAAATTCTCTTCCCTGTTCGTTTGGCGTCAAGTTCATTTTGAGAAACAAGAACATCCACCTAAAAGACCCACTCCATACCTAGGAGTTGCATTCCTAAGCCTATAAAAGGCTTGACGCAAGCTAAAACAAAACAAAACAGCAGAACACCTTCAATTTTAGCCTGTGATACTTTTGTGCCTTTACACAATTAGTGTTAATTTCCACAGCAGCATTTCTCTATTTATTAAGATCTCTACCAAGGCTCCTAGAACATTTCAGAAACCAAAAATTTGCCAAGAATATGGTGAAAACCATCCAGGAAGACAAGTGGCACAGGTCCAACATTTAGACTGAATATGCTGAATTACTGGCTCTTGGAGAGAGCTGTCAATCACAGATGAGGATGAATGAGCAGAGCAGCCTTGACAGCTGAGGGTGCAAACCCAGGAATATTTCTTTCCAGCTTAGTGAGTAAGGAATTTGACCTCTTCTGAGATCACATAGGCAACTAAATTTTGATTCATAAATCCAAAGATTAATGAATCAAACACTGCTTAAGGGCACTGTATAATCTGAACTCCACCCCACCTCTTCCCTAACACGTTAGACCCAGCTCACAGTCTAGACGGTTAGCAAAGGAAAAAGATGTGTGCGCTGAGATGAGAACAGTTATTATGGATCCAGAACCACATCTATCTTCAGCCACCTGCTCAAGAAGCTTCACCTCTCCATGCTTATACTCCACTTATGAATTTTCCCATCATCTCCAAAAACAATTAAAATGTTCTATCAATTTGAGGTCTGGAAGCGTTGCAGGCTTGATAGAGTATGGCTCTGGCCAACAAATTACTATGAATGCCCTCTTCTTTGTCATCTGTTAGATAATCTCATCTATTAATCAGCTTTAAAGACATTTGCACTCAGCACAGTGGAAACATCAAAAACCTTATTTTTCTTTTTTTGGACCTAGCTTACCTTATCTCAACAGTGTAGACATGATTGATGGGTTTGGGTTCCCACTCCAAAATTGTCTTGAAATTAGTTGATTTCCAAGTTAAATTATATGCTGCCACTACATCTCTAGTGCCTTTAAATAACAGAGAAAGAGCTTTTATTACACAAACTTCTCAGCACATGATTGCAAGTGGATGCCATAAAACACCCCCCACCCCCCAACATCACCACAAGCCTCACATTTATTTTTTTCCAACCACAAAAGCTTCACTACTAAATTATCGAAAGAAAAAAAGTTTTCAAATATTTTCTAGACCCAGAATTTCCTCATGGCAAGATCTACCTTGTAATCTAAGAAAACAGGCAAGGATCTTGAAATCTTTGAAATTATTCATAGGGGAAGCCCTGTGATAACTTGACCCGGAGGCACAGCCTGGGAACCATCAATGTCCGAGGGTGTCCACCGCCCAGCTTGGGAAGGGCAGGACTTTAGGGTTCAACTCACCAGGGAAAGTGGGCTAAGTAGGGTTTTCGATAAATTATGGAAAAGGGCAAATCCCACATGTGTGAGAAGAGTTAAGACTGCATACAATGAAAAAGCCAAATCTTGACTTTTTCCATTTGTATCTAAAATGTCTCTATACTGAAACTTTCACAGACCCCCAGGCAGACGTGTGGCCTGTCATACCATCGGATGGACATCGGTTAGGATGCTTTATTATTAAGGCCTGCTTCGCCAATACTCAGCAGGTCATAGTCTCTGCCCAGCCGCACACACCGAGTAGGTATATGGGGCATGCACAATGTGGCGCCCGCTCCAATCCAAGCAACGTTTTGCAACATGATTGCCTCTAACCCAATCCGAAACAAAGACGATCAAGAGAAGACCGGGGGCCGCTTTTTATTAAGGGAAGCGCGCATATAATGAACGATAATCACAGTGCACGCTGACCTGTGCAGGCGCGGACCCATGTCCCACCACCTTCAGGGTCGCGACCCCCTGGGAAGCTCTTTCTAGACATTTAAAGCCAAGAGCCAAAAATCCACTTACGCAACAACAATGGACGCCCCGATGAGCATCTCGAGCAAAAGGGGCGGAGGGGACCCAGGCGAGAACTACCTACCCCTCAACTCCCGCCTGCGCGCCCCGGGGCCCAGGTTCATTCCAACTCGGCTAGGGGAGGGCGTCCGAGTCCAGCGGGCGCGGGGGCCACCTCTGGACAGCCGGCTGCCAGCCAGGACTGTACCCCCTCCTCCGGCCGGCGCTCCTCAGGGCTTCGAGGTCGGGTGCCACTCACCTGCGGCTCCAGCCACCTGGAGGAGGATCCAGCCGAGCAGAAGTGTCCGGACGACGGCGGCCTCGGGGCAGGGCACCCGGGACCCGGTGGGGGTCGCCATGTCCACGAGCTGGCGGCGAAGTCGGCAGGACTCCGCTGCGCCTCGGAGGCTGGGGAGGTTGGACTGGTAGATTGGGCTGGACGGGCCCCTGGGCGGCCTTGCGCAGCTGCACTAGGCGCGGGGAACCCCGAGTCTGCGGGAGCCGGTGCCGGGCGCGTTATAAAAAGCCGCGGGGACGCGTGCACCCCGGCGCCCGCCCCCGCCGCTCCTCCCCACTCCCCGCCCCCGGCCCGGTCACTCGCCGTCGCGGTGGGCGGCCCCGGCGAATCCACACCCCTGCCCCGCCTCCTCCTGTAGGAAACTCCAAGACCCTGCAAGGGCTGATTCACCCGTGATTCAACCGCGCCGCCAAGCGCAGAGCTGCACTTCTGCGCTGGCGGCTCCAGGTGCGGCGGGCCCCACAGTCCCCCAGGCTCCAAGAGCCCTCGGCCCCCAGTCCCCGTGGCCCTGGGCCACCCAGGCCGGCGACCCCAACGTCCATCCTGAGTGGGCAGCAGGTCTGGAGGAAGAAAGAGAGGCCGCGTTGGAAGGAGTTCTCGAGAACGGAGAAAGGGATCCTCCCCTTCCTTCCCTGTGGTGAAACGGTGTTGTCCGGCCGGTGGGAGCTGCAGCCCTTACAGAGGTTAATAGAAAGTCCCGGCTCCGCGGGCTCTGCTGATAGCGGAGGGCATTTCCAGTCCACGTGGGCTGAGCCTCGGAATCTGCAGCCAAGTAACCGCGTGAGGAGTAGGGCCCGCTCCCAGCTGCGGTTTCATCTTCTACCCCAAAGGCAATGAGACCTGGCCTTCCTACTCACAGCGCCCTTAGCGTGGGTCGCATTCTATAAAGGTGGGGCAAAGTCAGGTGTGTCTGCGCACAGGTCCGAAGGTCAGTTAGCCCAGGCCAACTCGGGTTAATGACCGAGGAAGAGCTGCCCCAAATCTGGCAGTTTGCCTCTGGGAGAATTCCAGCGTGACATCTGTAGCCCTATGGTTTCCGAAAGAATTGTTCTCACGTTGAAGATGACTTTTGTGGGATTGAGTTAGTTCCTTTCAAGTGAAGAGAAACCAAAAATGAAATTAAAAAATTAGTTTTTCTGAATTGTTTTCTGACTTCCTCTTCTGGGCTTTCCTGGAAAATTGTCAGACAAGACAATTTTATCTCTTATTTGTGCGCTGTCTTGTCAAGTTCTTCCCATCACTCGTCTATTATTACTCTGTAGTTGCCTCCAAGACAGACTGGAGAGTTCATAGAGAGAGGATGGAGTCTTTCCTCTCTTTCTTTCACTTTTTTCCTAGGAAAATCAGCCTTGCATTTTAGTGCATGCTGTATACACATTACTATATGGCCTGCTGAGCCATAGCATTACAACTCACTTTAAAAGAAACTAAACTTTGCAAAATTTTTATTTTTTCTCTTTCCCGCGAGCTGAAATAGCACGTCCAGGTTTAGCTCTTGTAGTCCTCCCTTCTTGGAGCTGAAAGCTACGCTTGCTGGTTTCCTCTTTGAGCTCTTTTCCAGCTCTAAAACCCACAAAGTTTATATTTGCAAAACTAAACCATGCAATCCTCCGTTTTGCAGTCTCTGGCCTGAGTCATTTTCCCTCTCAGATCTTTAGCCCCACCTGGGATGTGAGTCTTCGCACTCTGGAGTTGAAGTTAGCTAGGAGAAAATGCTCCACTTCCATCAAGTGCGTTAGACTCCCCAAGGAATCATTGCTCTGTCTACAGGTCATTGATTCCATTTGGAGCCACTGACTGTCCTGAAATCATAAAGGGCTTTACGCAATGTCAGAATCAGTAATTTATAAGAAAAATATGTTTCACATTAGATTGTGGCACAAAAGGTGCCTTAAAGGTTGATAAATTAGATGAACATTTATTTTGCATATTCACTAAAATTATCAGGTAGGGAAGAGAGGAGTTTGGTGGGTGTTTCCATAGGTTTTTGAGTAGATTAGAATGATATTCTAGAAGATATGAAAAATGCTAAAAATTGTTACTATTTTCAAGAAGAGAGGAAGAAAATTGGCTGTGGTAAATAGCGTCTCATAGCAAAGTGTTTTTTTCCTGGTTGATCAGACTGTGGCCAGATAATTTCTAGATCAACTGCTGCTCAGCCCCGCTAGAAGTACATTCTTTAAATTTCACTGTGAATATTTATTGCAAAGGAACAAATCGATTGTTAAAATTACTCAGTAACCTTCCACAACATTTCTTTACCCGCTTCAGTAAAGTCGAGCTTAGCAGTTACCCAAGTTCCCGCCTATATGATACATCTTGGAGACTCTGAGAAGTTTGAAAATTTCCTAAACTAGAGTGATACTCAGGCTGGCCTGACCAATCCCTTTATGATTAGAGCCTAGAATGTCAGAGAGCTGGATGGCACCTTGCAGACATCTCTTTGCAGATGAGGATCCTGCAGGTAGCTGGCCTGAGTGAAACAACTTGCCTAACCTCCCAATGCAGATCTGGTCTTCTGACCCCAGGAGCTTTCCTTCCACCACCATGCTTTCTTCTACTCCCAATGCATGGAAGTAAGGTTGGGTCATAAGCCCAGGCTTCCTTGATTAATTTATTCATCCATAGGCACTCAACAATGCTCTGCGGTTGGTTTAGGAAATACTTGCAGTTTGGGGAACTCACTGTTCTCCACCAGAAATATCCTGAAGGTTATTCCTTGAAACACGCATGCATGGAAGACATGTAGAAGAGGTTGGTTGCCTTTGCATAACTGGTGATGAAATGTGGTTGATGAGTCTGAAGATGACTGGGGTGATGTTGCAGCCCTTCCTCTGAGGTTTTATAGTTCTCCCTAGCAATTTCACCTACTTGATTTCAACTGTGTTTCTTGTCTGTCTTCCCCACTAGAGCTCCTTGGGGGAATAAGGACTGGGTTTTTTCTTTACATCTCTTAACACTTCACACAATTACCAGCACATGGTAGGCTTTTAATACACTTTGAATCACTGAATACTTTTTGGAACCATGCATGAAGCCAAATATTTTTATTGGCATTCAAGAGATGAAATTTGTCATTGAAACTTTTCTGTCTAGTGGCCGGGCAGTGAATGTTCCATAATGCTCACATTGGTAAGAAAATACAAATCCATCATGGGTTGCTAGGCGTCACTTGATAGCAAGCTCCAGCATCTAAATGATCCTTGCTACAGCTAGGAAAGCTAACCAGGAGGGGAGGTAGCTGAAGAGCAGAAAACAAAGTTGGAATTTGGGAACTTGTTAGCATTTTTCTAAAAGACTGAATTCTAGGGTGATTCAGAAGATTTTCAGTCATATGGTGAGGCTGTTGATAGCTTTCCTTGTATAGAAAGGCTTAATGACTTTTCAGAATAAATTGCACAAAATCTAAATCTTTCCATAAAAGGGATAGGTTAAGCTTTATGATAGTAGGTGAAATTGAGAGTAATTCATATAAAACTATTATAAGCATATGAAATGGTAAAAAGAGCAATGAAACCATTTTACCCAAAATTCAGATAAAAGGCAACGTATGAAAAAATAGCCAGAGGGAATTAGGAGTGGGAACACAGAGTTCTGGAAAAAAAAAAAGTGACTCAGCAGAACTTAAAAAACATCTGGCAGGGTGTAGTTAGTCATGGAAAAATTGGCAGTCATGATTATGCATTTTGTGAAAGTAATTATTTCCTAGTCCAACAGTTTACATTTAAGTGGAAATTAAATAGTTGAAAGCTCGTACAATGAAATCTATTATCTTGGTCTTTCAAAATACTTCTGTTAACTGTCTAGAATAGTTCACAGAAGTTTTACCAAATAAGTTATCATATATCACCAGTATTCTGAAAAGTATAATTTTAGAGAAAAAGCTTCCAGTTCAAACCTTAGACAGGGTTAGTATTTTCAGCACACAACTATCTTGATTAACCTAAGGTTTATTAAACTACCTGTCAACTTTCATTTTGATGAACAATAAATATTATTTTTATTCTCTACATACAATGTTGACAAAAATAGGTAAATCATAAACATAAATTGTGGATATAGTTTTAGTAGCAAAAATTCCTTTAAAATGAAAACCTTTAACATATGTTCTTATTAATATAACACACAAGATTTGTAAGTTTTTATATAATATCATTTTATGTTAGCATCCCTTGAGTATAGCTGGCGTATGTGCTAAATTTGATGAACAGAAATTTATTCATTCAATAAATACTTGAATATCTGCTAGATGCTGAGTTCTCTGCTAGGCTCTGGATATACAGAATAAAACATATTTTTCCTATGAAATATATCATCACTCCTACTTACTGTCCCGATTTTAAAGGTTTGAATGATTTTCTGTCAACATTTTGGGTTGGATATAAAGCAATGCTAACAATGTTATGTATTATAAATTTTGTTTCATGTAAATAAAAAAATAAGATTTAGATATGTAACAGTCAGTCCATCAAACAAGTATCTTTAACTCAGAAAATTATGTGCTTGGAGTATTTTATCAATTCAAATGTATTGATTAACTTCCAAAGTTTTGCACATGGGAAAAAATATGCATCCCAACATAGAAAGACAACTCGCTAAAAAGGCAAGAAAAGATAGCTAGAAGAATAAAAAAAAATTAGTGAAATAACCAGGTTAAAAGCATGTGCATAGGAGGCTTTATTCCTTTTCAGATAATTCATTTGTTGACATTTTATAAAATAGCCTGGTTCGTAGATGCTCCAAAATGTTAGCCTGCCACCCATCCAATCACTTGCTGCCTTTAATGGCTGATGCTTCATCCTATTACACCAATTCCTCTCTCAGAGCTTTCAGGGTGGGAAGTGATTCCTGAATAAGTGAAGTTCTTTCCACCCTGGGAGCATGTTTGTGATATTTGCCCAGTTGTAATGCATCCTAAACTATTACCCTTATAGGGTAATCATTACTGTATTGTAGCAACTCATAGTTCGAAATCAACTACAAACAAAGCATGAAATGACTCCTACTCTCTGTTGTGAGGGGAATAGCAGGACACACGCTATAGAGAGTGCTTGTGGGAATGTGTCAGTGGCCGGGTTTTCAGAATTTGGTAAAGTTTATAGATGGCTGTTAAAATGACCAAATCAAAAGGATTGGTCTTAAG